TAATAAAAAGCTCATTTGCTATACTGTAAATGCATTATACAGTTGTCTGACAGTATTTGCATACACATAAGCTTTGAATGCTGCAGAGTAGAGTGCAATGAAACTGACAATGGGAGATACCACCCCTCACCTGCAGTGGTTCAGTTCCATCCGAGATTTGGGTTCTCCAACATGGTACAGTCTGACTGTGTAGGCGGTCCCTCCAGAGCTGTTCTCTTGGCATCCAGTTGAAGACTGGCAATAGCTGCTCAGAACCTCACAGCAATTTGTCGGAAAAGGAAAAACAATAATCATATGTTTTCACTTCCCTTTGTCCATAGTCAAGTCCAATCTCCACCCATGTAAGCGAAGCCAAATGTCTTTAAAAAATATCTTTCAGGTCTTCCTCATTTTCTCTCACTCTTTTCTCTCAGGTCTTCCATTTATGTTACGTGTTCAAAACCAACACCATTAAGCAGAGAGACCGGAAAAAAATTGTTTATTCAGTTGGACAAATCCGGACTTGGTTCAAAAGACAAAGGCATGAAGAAAAATGGATGAACTGACAGAGAAATAGCACTTACTTTTGAAGTGTGTAACTGTACGGACTCATTTAGGTTTAAGAAAAACAAGTGAATTACCCCAATGGACTGCATAGGCATGTCACCTTCTTCTAACTCTGTGGTAGTAGTCGTAATTGTATGTTTTATCTAACAATCTGACAAATTACAGCGACAAAGAAAAAGTGGAAATATGACACTGACCGAAAGTTTGTCTTCAGATGCTCAACCAGCCCTGTCCATCCGTCAGATCTGTGGTCCCAGAGGAGACATTTATCCCTTCCTGGTGCTTTGAAGTTGAAATACAGCTTTCACAGCAGGATACGGCTCCTTAGTGAAGCTTTGGTTGGACTTTAGTCCTCGTTTATGCTCCATCATTAAAGTCCAGACCCGCACCCCCCATACCAACACGCACAAGGACACACAAAACATGTTTCATCTCTCTTGTCGAACAAATTTATGACAATACAGACGGATGCCTTTGTATGTGACTTCGCTTTATTATTGAGCTCAAGGGAACAACCACTCAGCTGCCATCTTCGTGGTAATGTTCCAAAGACTTTCTGGTCAACATAACCTTTATAGGGGTACATTCACAGTTCGCACCCCCTCCTCTGAACCAGATCAAACTGGTTAGGGTAGGGGGTGCACTTTGTAACACACATATGCCTTATGCAGATTGCATCTTTCAAACATGTATACTTCACGGGATCAGCATGCTGTAGGCCTGGGGCATGTGAGGGGGCGTCTATGCTTCTGCATGGCCTCTGTCTCTGTGGTGTCCCTGCCATGTCCGCTACGTGCCCTCGATGCTCACGCCTTTGCCTCAGCCTGCATTTCTTGTCAATTTTAACAAGTACTGTGCTCCAAAACACGAGTGCAACACTTAGCTCAAACCTCAATTCCCTTTTAGCCTCGTGTTTGTCAGCTGTCTGTCACCCTGGCGTTTTTGCAAAAATATAAAAATACAATCCAAAAGCAGTTTATCCAAAAGCTAGTTAAGAAAAATATACCCTCTGTTCAGGTTCCTCTCACACTCTCAAAATAACAGGCGGCAATATTAATGGATAACAAACTGAAATCTTATTCTTTTGTTCATGAAAATGCAGCACACATTTTAACACATTGCAAGCATGTAAATCATAAAAATCAACCTCCCAGAGAAGTAAACGATGTCATTTCCCCTTTTCAGTTCACACCTGGTTCCACCACTCAGTCTTATCATGTTTTGGGAGGGTTACTGAACAAGCTCTGTTTAATTACTTTTATTTCGCAACGCGTCCCAGAGTACTACAAATTTTAAGTAAAATATAAGATTAAAATGTTGCAGAGTTTATGTGGAGACACCAAAATCATACAACACCGCAGGAAAAAAATACTCTTGTAATAAAACTCTGGACAAGTATAGCATGTAAAATATATGGGCAGAGATTGTTGTCTAGAAGTTTCACTTTAATGTTATGTAAGTAGGTCAGTGTGTTAACATCAAAATCACACCCTAAAGATTTCTTTTACGTTACATAGCTGCAAAGCCTGCCTGACACTGAATGGACGACTTTCGTTCACGGAACAAAACATTTCACCTGACGCAGCCTGCCTGGCAATTAGGCCTAAGCAGCACACAAGTCAACAGAAATTTAACTCGACCATCGGTTTTATGTGACAATATTTCATTTATGCAATAGTAGCTGTACTGCAATTAGCATTCTTTATTTTTGTATTTTTTGCATGGATTTGTCTGGTATATTAAAATACCTGCTGGTTAACTTGTGTTAATCGGTGACAGCATGAATTTATGTAACTTGAGATATGTGCAAGGAGATCAAACAGCGGTGGAAATGCACAGCGGTAAACAGGCCTGATAAGCGCAGTATAAAACCACTGAAAGGAGGGGGCAGTGCTACAGAATGCTGCTGCATCGCCGGTGGTGTCACTATCAAATCACACACTTTACTGGGGTTGGGGGGGGGGGGCGCAGCTTTCAAGCCTCACCGCAGACAGCAAGTTTAACTTCCTCCAGTAGAAGAGGGCAATTAAAATAAAAAAACACACAAGGCACAGCCATCTACACTAAATTATTTGCAAAATAACATTCAGCTTGCATAATTATGGCATTGCCATGCACATACACACATACCGCTGTGCAAAAAAAATAAGACCACTCGATATTTTTAAACAAATCTGCGTTTTTAAATCCTGGTTTTATCCTGGTTCTGTTGGCAGAAGGCTGCGCTGAGCAGCAGGCTGCTTCCGGATTCAAAATATCTAAGGCAGCTGTACACAAGAACGAGGCGAAGCAGGAGACACCGTGAGCGACGAGGAACCAGCCAGGCAGAGGGCAGAAGCGACTTTATAATAGCAGAGATGACCGTCAACTTATCCGACAGTTTTTCCTGAATCATAGGATGACATCAAATGACCTTCAAAAGGAATAGGTGTGAAGTGCACTGCTAGGACAGTCTCCTAGAAGCAGGACTGAAGTCTCATAAAACAAGAAGTCCTTCACTAATGAGAAGCAGGGAAAGAACCAGGTTACAGTTTGCAAAAAATAGATATCATTCACAGATACCAATAAACTGAGAAAAAGGTGAAACAAAAAATTGTGCTCTGATCTCGTAATTCACATATTTTCACAGTCACGCATGGTGCACAGGTGTCTGTAGGGGAATTTGTCGAGAACACACTCTCCCTTATTCTTTAGAACGACACTGATGTCTGGTTTATAGCCTGCGCTTGGCGTGCTTACAGGTGGGAGGGAAATTACACAGCCAGCATTTGGGACTTGGGGCAGAATGCAGGTGAGTAACAGGTGAGGCAGGCTTCATCTTGTCCCCCCCCCCCCCCCACGGCGTCACTGCTGCCCTGTGCTGGGAACAGCTCGACTCCCGGAGTTCCATTGTGCGTTAGTGCGGTGGATAAACTGCACACCACCTAAAGTAGTCAAGGCATGGAACGGAGACCCAGCCCACAAGCAAGCTTAGTGCTCTGGTACTATACTGCCGAAATGTGCTTGGGTTGATTTATGATTTTATAACATCTACTTGGCAACGTTAGCATAATAACAGACATGTCTAATTCAAGTCAAATCAAGTCAAGTCAAGCGGGGCATTATTGTTACTATATTCAGCACACTGCAGACAGTGACACAAAGTAACACTCCCGGACAACAGTGCTACATATAGGCCGATACATATACCAATATGTACCTTTCGGGGTAGAATTACTTAATTGCCACTGTTGCAGTACCCACAAGGATCTGCCTTGTGTGTACCCTAGATAAATGTACCTTTCAAGGTACAGAAATGGAATCTGAGGAACATTTTTGTACCATTGGGGGTACATTCATGTTGTTTGTACCTTGGGGAACAAAACTGTACCAGGGATGTAGATAGATAGATAGATAGATAGATAGATAGATAGATCCTCGGAGTCCATTTCTGTACCTTAAATTAGACTAAAAGGTACACTTACCTACAGCTAGAGTATAATTGGCAGACTCTTGAGGGTACAGCTCCATGCAGTGACAAGCAAAGGCACAAACTGGCACTCTTTTTTTCTGACAGTGTACTGGGCAAATGGCAATAAAGAGATTAAGTGCTGGTGGACTGCTTAGTTACTGTAAAGTTCAAATCTGTGGATAGGGGGGCAGCGGTGAGTTCAGAGTTCATCCTCTGTCTGTGTCATGAACATAAGGGGAAGAGAGAATCGTCGACCAGATCTGCCACATTGTTTAGTGCCCAGAACTTTTCTTTACGGACATTCCCACACTTCCTTAGCACAATGTCTGCATTTCCTGTTTGAAGAAAACATCACTCTCATTTACGCCTGAGTCTAATTCCATGCAGGGCGCATTTACTACACAAAAATTGCATAACGGGTTTTAATGGTGTCAAGTAAGCGATGGATCAAGTAACCTATCAATACATGTCAGTCCCCCTCAACTTTACTAAGAAACTGTAAAACTCATAAGGAAAGGGGCACTAGGACGTTATACCGCTTATAAATTTCGAGTGCTATAATTAATCAAGATTACCGGTTACGACACAATGGGTCAAAACTAAAATGTATAACGAGTCAGCATATGACAAAAAAAAAACACATCGCCTGAAAACTGATCTGCTAAATACGTTTAATAAATGAAAAACGTACGATTAAGTTTAGCGCAGAATTATTATATATAAACCATCATTGATAACACCTACATAAATACGCCTATAAATGCTGTATTTGTACTACATAACAATGTTTAATGCCATTTACATTCTTAATTTTTTATTATAGGCCTATAATAATATTCTAATAAAAGCAGCGACGCTTAACACAATTATACGCTTCGCAAAAGTTACCCTTCTGACTCGATAATTACGAACCCCTGTGCACGCGTCCGTCCCATCTCAAAACCATTATGCAGCAAAATTAAATTGAGGGTGGGGTTTCCTTTCGACAAGACATTCTTGGCGTTCTGTTATCTGGAAACAATTTTCTGAAACCTACCCCTTGTAAATGTAAATGCTGCCTCTACCGCCAACACAAAGGAGCAGCGGCTGTGCCCCACTACCCTGGCACAGTGCTGTCCTTCTCTAGCTGCGCACGATTGGACCAAAAGTACATTTTTGGAGCTGCCTCCTTCTCTCTCAGTCTGCATTCTCCGGGACCCGGGCACACGATCATAGCCAAAGAAAGGAAAACGAGGAGAGAAGACCTGCCTACTTCAAGTCCAGTCCTGCCGCGGTTTCTCGCCTGTCACTTTGGTCAGCAAGCTAGTACTGATTCCGTGAGAATCTAACTTCTTCTCTCCTAATTGCTTTAAAGGTAAGTTCATTTAAATAAATATCAGATGCATTCATTTTAGCTATTATTGTTTCAAATGAAGAACGCTATTTACTACTCCGTGACTACGCTTTTTAGTCACTTTTGCTCCGGTACCTAAGTTCTAGTTCGTGGAGCGTTTTAATGTAGTAACGCATATTGATTTTGTGTGATACTTTGATAAATGTTCGTTATGCATGTTAAACAAGCATCGCATAATAAATAACACGTTTCCCTTATTTTGTGTCCATTAACTTTCATATTGATCAAATATTGCTTGAGGGGTAGTTTTAGTTTTTTCTTTAACGAGCGCCGGAACCTTCATTATTGTAGGTATGTATTCAACTACACGGGGTTAAATAAGATAGCAGTTCATGTGCGTAGTTAAACACTCGATGGCATGACACGATAAACACGTTTATCCACAAACCGTCACTTTTATATAAGCTGACAAAAATATACAATTGCATTCCGGACAGGGTCAAGGTTGGTCTGAGTCCTGTCCCGGTCGGAAGAGGGGATGCTATAGTCGCAGAGCACATATTACGGGGCATTTAGGGACACCGATCAGGGGGTAACCGTATGTCTTTGAACTTAATGGGGAAGCTCAGACAACACGGAGAAACCATATAAACCCCACGCACACAGAATCGGACCCCTATCCTGGGGGTGTGAGGTACCCCAAATTAAGACATGTAGGCTAATCATATTATTTAACCATAACGAACGCCATCATTACCAGTTTTACAGCTTTAGCTACAATATTCAACCATATAAATTATTAATAATTAAATCTGTTTATATTAAATTGTGAAACGTTAGCGTCAACGTTATTCGGTCTAAATAAGTGTTAATAAGCATGTATAAGTATAATCCACGCCTAAGGTCTCAGTCTGCACTTTTGCAACTTTAAACTGCACAGTGAGTCAAATTTCAACATAGAAGTGAACTACTTGCTAATACAAGAGCTACACCGTGCATCATAAAAGGCTGTTCTATTCAAATAAAAATACCATGTGGAGTAGGTTCCTATTCGACAAGCGAAATACAAGAGCATCCGATTTTGCCAGAAGACCAAAACCAAAGGATAGCTGATAGAGAGAGAGAGACGATGGTGGGATGAGGTAGCTGACATTCTCAGAGTAGATGGTTTCTGAGACATTTCTTGGTTGAGAGAGACACTGCAGAGAATGTGGATGGGTGATAAGCACGTCACAATGTGTAGCAGCGATTGTAATTACATACATGTTGATTAAGTCTGCTTTTTCATTACAACAAACACTGTAAAACTGGTCATTTTTATCAATCTGCCTGATTTGTTTATTGCTTGTTAACAGACAAGTGAAATATTTTGCCCTTTTGTCGATCCCTTGTTTTAAAATCACAATTTCCTTAAATGGCCATTAAACTCATGTTAGGCATCTTTTATTGAAACATAAATTTCACATAATTCAGACTGAACAAATTTTTTCTGCATCACACTATTTTCGTGGGTGTGTGAAACCATTGCTATGTTTGTTTAAGTCCCACTAAATAACATTGTTTGTTTTCTTACCCCTTAGGTCTCCATCTCTCAGGGATGAAGGCTGACCCGCCCCCTCTAGTGGTCAATGACAACTGAGCTCCGCTGAACCGCAGGGCAATATCCAGTGTGGATACAACTGTCATTTAATTACACTGATCTCATGCGTAACTTTCATTTACATCACTCAGACTTGTGTAAATAAAACGGAAGTGTTTATAAAGCTGAATCAACACATTCAAGGTGCCCAAAAACATGAACCGCGTATACAGTCAAGGCAATGTTTAACATAATTTGAGCTACTCCAAGACCATACTCTTGGGCGAACGAAAGTATTATGGCAACCATGGGACACTCATATACTACAGTTGCTCAAAATGTGGCACCCGAGCCTGCTTCCTCCCCACCATTACTGCGCCAAATATTCGACGAGTACCAAAATAATGGCGTCATCATGACACATTACAACTACACCGGCAAACTGCAGGAGAACCGCTACCGTAATGGACTGAAGCCAGAAGCTATCACTTTCCTGGTCATCTGCCTGCTCATCGTGCTGGAAAACGCTGTAGTGTTGGTGGCCATCTGGAAGAACAAGAAGTTCCACCTACCGATGTACTACCTTTTGGGCAATCTGACGCTGTCCGACCTGCTGGCGGGATTCACCTACATGGTCAACATTGTGCTGTCAGGTCCCAAAACGCTAGAACTGACACCCCTGCTTTGGTTCCTAAGAGAGGGTGGTGTCTTCATCACTCTGGCCGCCTCCATCATCAGCCTTTTGGCTATCGCCATTGAGCGTCACATCACTATGGTTAATATGAAGACCTACCATAGAGCAAAGCGGTACCGAATGTTCGCTCTAATCGGGGCTAGCTGGATTCTGTCACTGTTGCTGGGGATCCTTCCCATTATGGGCTGGAACTGCATGGGCCATTTGCCGGGATGCTCCACAGTGCTGCCATTGTATGCTAGGAGTTACATCCTGTTTTGTGTCTCTGTCTTTATTGCCGTGCTGCTGGCCATAGTCGTACTCTATGTGCGCATCTTCCGCATCGTCAAGTCCAACACACGGAAACTGGGCTGCCTACGCAAGAGCCAGGCCCGCAAGTCACGGAAATGCATGGACCTGCTCAAGACTGTCACTATAGTGCTTGGGGTCTTCATTGCTTGTTGGCTGCCTCTTTTCGTGCTGCTGCTGTTGGACTTCTTCTGCAAGGTGGGCCAGTGTTTCGTGCTACTCAAGGCTGACTACTTCCTAGGCATCGCCATAATCAACTCCTTGCTCAATCCCATCATCTACACGCTCACCAGTAAGGACATGCGGCGGGCCATCATCCGACTGTTGTGTCGCCACTGTCTCATGACGGAGGATGGACATGTAAAGAAGATTGGAATACCCTTCCTGGATTGTAGCACGAGCAAAATTGAAAAGTCTGCATACAGGCTGGAGGGCTTGGAGACCACAGTCTCCTCAGGGAACATTACCCCTTCAACCATCAAAGTCCTCTACCCTAGGATGTTGAGATCCTGAGCCAACTGCTTAACCTTAAAGACTTTTAAAAAGAGAGTCTTGTTCGTTACCATGGAAGAGGCCAACACGTGTGGATGAAAAATGTCTTCATTTTATGGACATCTATGACACAAAGGTGTAGGCCGGAGCACAGTTCTGACATGGTGTTCTGATAACGAAGGCAATGGATCCTTGGTTGGGTAGGAGGTGTCACTCGAGCCACAGGGCTCAAGTATGCCGGAGGATGTTTGCCAGCGCACATATATTAAGCTACATGATGATTAATATCTGTAATGGGGGAAAGTGGCTCCACAACAACAGTGCCAACTTGAAAAGTAGCTGGGTGACGTGCATAGGAAAAACACTGGCGTTATAATATCAGATACAACAACAACAACAACAAATTAATTTTTGTATAGCGCATTATCACAACATTACATTGTCCCAAAGCGCTTTACAGCATCCCCACCCAAAGCCCCCAGTGAGTAGATACGCCTATAATATCAATATACTGTACGCCTGCATTGGGCCATCCAATAACAAAAGTGTATTCTGACTAAATTGCATCTACAACGTTGGCACAAAGGGACACGATCCTAGAATATATCTAAAGGTGGCTTTATCTTTATGTTGACCTGCAGACCGTGTAACAATGCATTATATAATAACACCGCATTATGGAATAACTCGACAAAATGTTACAAATTTGTGATGGTTCTGAAGGTTTAAGACCGACAGCCTTTCGGGGTGGTTTCAGTTCAGCTTGATCTGCTTGTGTTTTACCAGCTTGCCAGATGCAGAGTGACTCCGTGACAATTAATATGAAAGCATGTGATCCCTGAAAATGAACCAGATTTCACTGGTGTAGCATAATATCACATACATCTGTACTGTTAAGGTCTTCATAGGTGACTAGGATTATGTGCGTGTAAATCTTCATATGCTGACTTTTATGCAGATGTACAAAACTGCACTGTATAGTCACTTATGTCTACATTGTTTATAATTTTATGCATTAAAGGTTTTCTAATTTATGTGCATTTTGTGTATTAAATGTTCACTGAAACGACACAAATATGAATTTGTACAGATTGCAATTGTCAATTTTTTACATGCAGCTTGAACTGTAAATTTAAAACATCTTGTAGAAAAAAATGTACATAATAGTTCTGTGTTTTTTTGGTCATATCCTTGTCTGTCTGACCCTTGTTCATTGCACTGGTGTGTACAACATGAATTTGGATTTGAGGGGGTAGTTTTGCCACCTTTTATAGTGAAACTCACTCGCTGGGGATGACTGGCTGGTAGGAGTGAGCGGGCATGACTGTGGATTTGGAAGAGCTGCCGTCCATTCACATCTGCTAGTGACATTACATAGCTCATATACATAAGGGCATTTTGCAGAATCATTATCTGCAGCCCCCCCCCCCCCGTTTCCTGCCTGAGATGCAAAAAGTAAAACCGCGGCTTTAATGAAGGGCTTCTCTTCAGCGTTTCTGCTGGCAGATTCCGCAGAGGAAGCCATACCTCCTCACTTCAGCAGAAAAACAGAATTAACACAGTGTAGATGGCTGGTTTTACTGACGTTCAATGGCATCACAGACATGAAGATCGTTTAAACGATTGTTTTCTTCGACTACCTAAGACTTTCATACAGTACCGTAACTTTTGTGTTTTCAATCTGTGATTCTCATTGTTCGTTATTTTTTTGTAATTACATCTCGCATGACGCTCCATGAGAAGTGTTGTAAAAATAATAATAATAATAATAATAATAATAATAATAAATGACACAAAATTTGATTTCATATTAATGAATGAGTCCCTTAAAAAATATTTTCTCAATTATAATGTCATATTTACATTGATTCAACAGGTGATGTCATAATGACCCCTTGCACATATAGAATGGAAGCGATAGGCCAGGAAAGACACGTGATATGTATGGAACCGAAACTGGCTGGATTCATGCCTACTCTGGTTTTATGGCCTTTGAGGCATGGTGCCTTACTGCAAGCGACTGCAAACATTTCCTCTTTACCAGTAACCGTGCATCTCTGTGGCCACGCAGCCGACGTGCTACCCGCCCTCATATGAGCCACAGACCCCCACAGCCTGGAACTGGCATGCTTTTGCGGAGAAGACGGTGCCCTATGTATGTAAAAATTGCCCATGACCTATATCGCGTGAAAATCAGCAGAAATACACAGGTGTACAATTTCGCACTAAAACGGCCAATAAAGCCATTGTTATATCTTTTCAAATTTCTCTGGTGGTCTCAGTAAGCACTGAGACCACCAGAGAATGTTTTACTTGTACCAGACATTTTTCTATTCGTGAACCAGAATTAGAAATATGTATCGTTGTATGTCTACTTCTGCATAACAGGTTAGATGTGGCTGCATTGCCTTTAATTTCAAAACAACTGATTCCAACAGAGACAGATATTGTTTGAAAGATGGAATTTCAAGTTAATGCTTGCCAGGGTTTAATAGCGGGGGGTTATTATGTTGCTGGTGGATCGTTTGCCTATAAAAACGTATCGCCGTTAAACCACCACACGCGCAAGCACACAGAGGTCACGTTAAGCGCACAACAGTGCTAAAAAAGGAAGTCTGTAACTTAAGAGAGTTTAACAAAAAAAAAAAAAAAAAACAGACCCCTTGAGAAACAGAAGTCATTAATTCAAATTGAGCTCACTAGCGCTTTGGCTTCGTGAATAATGAAGGCAGCTCCTCTGTTTACCCAGCCTGTCATTAGGGTCACTGACGCTGAAGGTGCAGCAATTGGGCAAACATTTTCTGTAAGTTTCCAGTTATTTTATTTGTGTGTATGTGTGCGCGCATGCACGCGCGTGTGTGGGTGTATATATATATAAATACACACATATATATTGTAATATTGTATGATTATACATACACTAGTGGCCAAAATTGTGGGAACACTTCCAATTTTTAGACACTGCAGAACTTCATTACAGTTATTTATTTAATCATGCACTGTATGATATTTGTAAACATTCTTTGATTGTTTATATACATTACCGCCAGTGTTTGTGTAGTAATTTTTAATGTGTGATGCGGGAAATGCTGGATGTTTCCACAACTTTAATATATCGCATGTGGCACAATATTATGCAAAAGTGCTTGTTGAGCTCTTTTGTGACACCTTCCCTCTAAGGAATAATTACTCTGCAAACACATTTCTGAGTCATCTGCATCATCTGTGACACTTTCATTGATTGCTGCACCCGAATATAAAAGCACCGGCCATCTTGGCATTTTCACGGTATTAAGAAGCTATGCTAATTTGTTACCAAAACTGTTATTATGCGATGCAAGATGAGTTTAACTGCAGATGAGAAGACAGCAGTCATTAAGATCTCAGTTGATGGCATATTAGCAGTATCGTTCACTGATCGACCTGAGAGATACAACAAGGGTTGGGTCAGAAACTATATCTCTGAGTTGGAGACACCACCAAGGCGTTGATGGTGCGGTTTTGGGCTGGAATAATTGGTGGCTGATTAGTCACTGGCAGTTTCCCGAAGCTGCATATTTGACTGCAGATGCTTATATTGAATTTCTGAAAAACGTTGTGCCATGGCACAAAAGTAAGCCTATGGCATTAAGATGAAAAATGATACGAACACATGATGACGCTCAATCACATGCTGCCGGGAAGGCAGAAGAGCACTTGATGTAACTGGGCTTCAGAAAAGGCCATCTGATGGAGCCGTCAGCATCATCACCCAACCGGAATCCCACTGAGAACCCATAGAGGATCACCGAGCAACAAATTCATGCATCTGGATGTCAGTGTTGATTCAAAGGATAACTGCGGGGTGCTAGTTCAACACTGTCGAGAAGCAGTCTATCCTCAGAAATCTGCAGCCTAGCCAAGTCAGTGGTTGCCCATGAGTAAACAGGCTCTTTATCTAGGGGGGGCTGCTGTACAACAATCATTACAATACCTTTGTTACTTGTTCAAAATGAAGTTATAAATTCCTGTTTCTGTAACATAAAATTATTGTCAGTGTTATTACATAATAACAGCATGACAGTGAAAAAGTGTATATTTTGATATGACTCAAATATCCTCAAATACTGCATAACATGTGGCAATAATGTGGATTTTGATCAGTGATTTGAACAATAAAATTTTCAAATTTGGTGCATTTTTTTCTCAGTATTTACTATGATATATCGTTATTTTCTAACATATTTTCTATTATAATGTACAAATGATTGACAGCCCTGTAACAGACTAGCATCCCTTGCTTAGATATTCCATCCTTGGTGTCAGTGCAGCCCCCGATAAATGCTTAGATAAATGGTTGGAAGATGGATGGAAGAATCTGTGATAAAAATTACTGACTGTTCCCTCCATAATTGTAAGATAAACAGATTCACAAGTTCACTGTGACTGACAAATTGTTTAATGTGATTACCTTTGTCCACCGAAATTTTAACACTTGGCTTGTGGTGCCACCTTGTGGCTACATTTCAAAATGACACTAATCGGTGGTTCTTGTCATTAGAACGCTGTCCGTAGCGACACCATCCTCGCTCGGTGCTGGAACCAAATTAACACCCCATGCTCCTCTTTTGTGGTTTATTCACCTGCGATCCCAAATTCCATACTCGCATTATGTCAGCTATTAAAGACAATCGTCCCCTTCACCAGCAATTTATGGCACGACTGGCTCGACATAACCTTAATACAGACCGGGAAAACACAGGAAGCCCGAAATACAGTAGAATTACATAATAAATTTTCCTGAAGGAGAATAAACTTGAGCGTGTCTGACATCGATAACAAAGGAAAATAAATGTATAACAACACCAGTTCTCGCATGCACTCATACTTTTCATCCCCAGTCAAACCTGACTACAATATTGTGCTTTTTTGTTATCATTTTATTTTGAAACCAGAAGTAAAATTGCATTTTATAAGAGAATGTGGTTTGCGTTTTCGGTACAACTTGGCCGTTGCACTACGCCATTGCACAGTTATTTTCCACGCTACGCCGTATACCGACACGAACGCAAACCGTAGCTGCTTATCTGTATCTCCGCATAAACCCGGCCTTTTTTGTAATGCATACCTTACAAATATTTCAGCTAACGACTATGCACGGAGAACAACTTAGATGCAGCGCCGCATTCGTGCAGAGCTGCTTCTTCTTTCCCAGCTCTCCATACCACCCTCTCCACCGCACTTCCGTAAAAGTCTCCTCTCGGTGCAGCCGAAGGTAACCCTCGTCATCCTCGGGGCCTGCTCTTATTTTGGCAGCCGGATCGGGTTAGTACAATGCTTAGTCATGGTGAGTTACTGCTTTCCCAAGCTTTCTCGGTCCGCGGCGCACAGACGAGGATGGCAGCAGCGAGGGCTGCGTCTTCCGCCGATCCATGCACGTAAGTAGGCAGGAAACGCCGCGACTAAATGCAAAAGCTGGTGCATATATACACTTTGCCCAGTTAAATGGCGGCACTGTGGCCGTTATTTCAGTGAGGTTTAAAATGCTGGCGATGGTGATAGCCACCGTCACCCCGATTTCCATGTTTCGTTAATTGCTAACTAGCTAAGCACAATATCGGAACCGATGTGGCTAGCTGGTTAGCCGACGGTACAACCAATACAACCAGTCGTTTGACGAGTACCGCATGCTGATAGACTGGATTTTAGTAAAAAAAAGGAGGAATGTATTTTGGTTAAACTCATCATCGCTCACAAACTTTTCCCCCCCGTTAGCTAATTGTTGATGAGACGCGCGCACACACACACCACGACGTGATCGTTCGTTACATAACTAGTTTGTCATCATCTAAATTGGGGGGAAAGTATCTTATATACCTTTATTTAACAGTATATATTTATAAAGACGTAGCTATGGCGAAACCCGACTCACTTTTACTAGCGAATAGTGCGCTGTTTTGGGGGCAGATCGAATTGTTTTTGATGGGCGCCTGACTAAACAGGAGCATGTAAATCATTCTTAAGCAGGCGGCTAAATGAGCTCGGTTTTTGGTTAACCGGTGCCTTGTTAACATCCCCTCATCGGCGGCTAATCAACCCTAACTACACGGGTTACCACCGACCGGGTCCCTGCAGGCACATCACTGGAAGCTGACTGCTTGTCAGTTCGCTCCCACGTTCTGATTAGCGATTGATCTAAATTACAATTTTATTATTATTATTATTATTATCATTATCATCATCAATTATATTATCAAATATACCTTTATAATCGGTTTAACTTGGGTTACGGCGGCGACTTTAAATTGCTACAATTGTTACACGTTGGTGGGAAGAGTCTCACAGTTTATTCGCCATTGCAACCAGTGATTAATTTCCTTTCGGTTTAACTAGTCCTGGTTTTGGCTGGCTGGTTAGTGGACGCTACCGGGCCGGGTTAGTTAGCGGCTAATCTCTGTAATGTGGTGGTTAAAGCGGCGACGTACCCCCCTCCCCGCTGGAGTTTGCTGCCGCTGGCTTCTCCGCGCTTCGGGTGATGGACGCCGTATAAAGTTACAGCCGCTCGCCCGAGGGGTCGCCCTGATACACCCGAGGGCATTACAGCCGAGCCCCGCTCCGGTCGATGATTAAAGCCCCGGGGAAAGTTGTCGGCGGTGGCCGAACGGGCTGTCAATCAACAAGTGCCAGTCTATCCGCGGCGAGTCCGGCCGTGATCCGGCCGCCTCGGGTGCTAAAAAGCCGGGGTGTGATGGTGTGATTCCGCCGCAACTTTCACACCATGCAGACCAAACGCTCCGGGAGGCAGCGCCTCTCCCGCCTTCGTGCTCGTGACGGGCGAGGCGCCCCGGGCCCACGTGAGACGCGCAGCACGGGGATTTAAGGGCCTGTCGCCGGCCGCCCGCCACGGCTGTGCGGGATCCGCTTCGCCGGCGTGATTTCAGGTGAAAATCCCTAGAAAAGGGGCTCTGATCGGTCACCAACCTGCCGCACGCCGTGGGCTGACTGGCTCCCTGAATACACGACAACACGCCGTATCCCCGCTAAATGCCATTTCTCAGAAATCATTCGCCGGGTTTATTTAGTAACTTCATGAATAATTTCAGGATCAAGTCGATCCCGCTCCTCGGAATGAGGTTTGGAGGCTAACTTCCTCTAACCCGGTGCAGCGCACACGTACATTAACGCCGTTACAATGACACAGAAGTTCCTTTATGAAGTTTAAATTAAAGTAATGTGAAGAGCTATTTACGGGACAAAGTCCAAATGAAAATGCCTGTTGTGCAGTTCACACCTATGTAATCACTGCCTACTTTTGTACAGTACGGGGCTGGGGCTTTGACCTTATCCTAGTTTAAGGCTTTAGTATTGTTAACTACCTGCCACTAATCTAAACGCATGAAGCCGGGATGCTATGTTATGGTCACGTGATTTGGAAGTATATTCTTAGAATATACTAATTCTTAGAATTATTAAAATAGTGTTTCTTAATATTTTATTAAAAGTTCCTTCAGTTCTTGTAAGCACACTTGAAACTCTTTCCCTTCAGTTCTAGTGTGTTATATTTTGACCCTGACACAAAATTTGTTAATGTCACAGAAATAGAAATTTGAGGAATGCTTGTTCCTCTTGAAATGTGCTATTTTCTACTAAGGCCTTGGTGGTCTCTGCCGTTACATTTACGATCGTCGATAGGAAAAGGGCATTTGTATGGGCTTTTTAGTTATGTTGCAGTCCTGTTTATGCAAAACAGCGTAACAGGCTTGCAGTGAGATGTTTTGCTGACTTAAATTAACGAGAGTGACCGACTTGAATGTGTTACCCAGATATGCAACGCCAAATCTTTTGCTCATTTGAATCAGAAATTCTTTGGTTTTCAAGAACTGATTCGTCACTTTGGTCTTTACTTCTGATCGGTCATCTCTCTTGATCTGAGTCCTGGGATTGCCATATGTTTCTCTCTCTCTGTTCCGTAGGTCCTAATTCAGCTGTGTTCAAGCATAAGTCAATCTCGCATGGAAGCGCTGTTTGCCAGAGCTGATGTGACCGGTGTTGCCTCATCGCGGAGAAAGGCGTCCTCGGAGGATCTCCTTTCTGAGAAGCTGAATGCCCCCTTTTGCTGCTTCCACCGCTGCTCTCGGGAAATGCGTGCTGTGTGATCTCAGCACCTCTATGAGCCGAGCTTGTCCTCTGTAATTACCGCCATAAACACTGGTGCTGTTTCAGCTTTTGAGACCCGATGACAGGCAATCAAAGACACTGCAAATATCGCTGAAGACCAGACGGTTCATAGTGTGGCTGAACCCAACCTACGCTTCAAGGACTTCTTTGCACATCAGTTTATAGACCTCTGACTCTACCTCTTGTCAGTAAGTCGAATTGGATGATCTTTTCTTTAATCCCCATAAATTGCTTTCAAAGTGTAGCAGTTTGGGGGGTTAGGGTTTAGGATTTACATTGGGAACAGATTGCTTTTCAAAAACGCAGCCCCGGCTAATTCCTTAAAGCACTGTCTTTTGTTCCCATAAGCGAGCAAACAGAGGCTGTTTGCTGAGATTCTGTTCCCGGGCCTTTTGAATCCAGCTTCTGCATTTGTAGACTTTCTCCTCATTGGCTGGAGTCATTCAAAATGGGTGTTTTACGTCAGTGGAAAACTTTGTGATGCTGCACATCCAGCATTATTTTTTTTGGCAGGAAATGATTTAATGGCATAAAATATCCTTAGAGAAGAAAAAAAAAAAGTACTAATACTTTTCTGCATCTCACAATCTGCAATAAGATTTTGGCGAATGAATGTAGCCTTTTATGTTTTTTTCCCACAACTCGCAAACAACTTTTTAAAGCTTGAACCTCCTGTCTAAAGCCACTTCAGTCAAAGTGGCTTCAGTAGAATAGTGGTGCATTGATCTGCCCCGGGAAATTCTCATTTTGACTACCCCGTCTTATTCTCCATGAGACACAGACACATGTACAGGTGAGAACAAGCTTGGGGGTCAGAGCACAGAGTCAGCCAGCGTGCAGCAACCATGGAGCTGGAGGTTAAAGGCCTTGATCAGGGGGCCCAATGGTGGCGGCGTTCTGCTGGCCCTGGGATTTGAACCAACAACCTTCCGATCACAGGCACAGCTCCCTAACATGCTGAGCCTCCTGAAATCTATCCCATTCCTGCTGATATAAAATTTCCGGCATAGGTTCCATCTGTGTGGGTTATGTATTTTTAGGAAATAAAAGTTGTTCAGACAGTAGGATCCCCTCCCCTGATTTTGACCTCCTTTCCCCCCCCCCCCATTGGGAGCTGGCCAGCGAGGATGCAGGTGCGGGGTCGCCGTCGGCGGTGAGCATGTACGCGGCGGGCATGACGGAGTGCAAGGCGGAGGTGACGCCCTCCACGCGCAACGGCCACCGCGTCTTCAGCTACACGCTGGAGAGCCACACGGCGGCCGCCTTCGCCATCATGGACGAGCTGCGGCTGCAGCGGCAGCTCTGCGACGTCACCCTGCGCGTCAAGTACGGCGAGCTGGAGGCCGTGGACTTCGTGGCGCACAAGGTGGTGCTGGCCTCTTCGTCGCCCGTCTTCCGTGCCATGTTCACCAACGGGCTCAAGGAGTGTGGCATGGAGGTGGTGCCAATCGAGGGGATACACCCCAGGGTGAGTACTGCGGGTGGGGGGGGGTGCGGTAACCATGGAGACACATCGAAACCTTTATCATTCAATATTGTGTCACATTGCTTTGTCTGTCTGGGGGGAACTGGGGGGGGTTGGACTGAGAGGCAGGATCGCTGTGTCTTTTTATACCGTGTGACATCACTGTTCATCTAGGCCAGGCCTGGGTAATTATTTTCTGTGGGGGGCCATTTCCGAGGTTCGTAGTGCCAATAGGGGCCATTTTTAACGATCATTTCTATGTGCCATAAAAGCTACAATAATAGTCAGATTTTTACTATACATTTATTAATTCAATGATTTGTGGGCAAAAATCATTTTCATAGACTTGAACATAAAATGTAACCCCCTAGCCCCCCCCCCCCCGGTTTACCATTTTAACAATCATGCAGGCTTATAAAAATAACTCAGATCTGATTGGGGGGGGAGGGGGCTTTACCACATTATACTGTGTAACATAGCAATGTCCATCTTAACTAATTTAATAATCAGAAAGTTTCTCTCTATGCTGCAATGCAGTAGATTTACCGCTTTGCCATAAATAAATAACTTGAGTGGAAACATGAATCCTGCCAGCTTCCACTTTGACCATTTGTAATCGTAAACATGCGTATATGTCTTTAATTTATTTGTATATACTGTGTCCTCAAAGCCAAAACCATTGGTCCCTCTGGGGTGTCGCCCACCGCGACTCAGACCGTTTGTGACCCCCCCCCCCTGCAGGTTATGGAGCGCCTGATTGAGTTCTCCTACACAGCCAGTATCTCGGTGGGCGAGAAGTGCGTGATCCACGTGATGAACGGCGCGGTCATGTACCAGATCGACAGCGTGGTCAAGGCCTGCTGCGACTTCCTGGTGCAGCAGCTGGACCCCAGCAACGCCATCGGCATCGCCAGCTTCGCCGAGCAGATCGGCTGCACCGAGCTGCACCAGAAAGCCCGCGAGTACATCTACATGAACTTCAGCCAGGTCGGGCCTCCTCCGCGCCGCGCCCCCCCCCCACCAAACACGAGCTTATGTTTAGATGCTTATCTAGCACTTCTGCCTGCTGTTATTTGCAGAGTTCTGTATCCCGTTCCACATTCACCCAGCTGCCCCTTTTTTACAGCAGTTCGGCCCTGCATGCGGACTTGTAGCCGCAGTTCCCGCAGGCTCTGCGCGTCCCGTCACACTGCATGTGTGCCGACCACCAAACCCCCCGCCCCATCTCTGGTGCCCCCGGCCGTTGGCTCTCCTCTAGATCTCGCGCGGCACTCCGATGGGATAATCCTTCCCCCCCGCTTCTGGGTTAATTCCCTGGCCCACACCCATGACGTCAGAGTCTGTTTGGTGTGTCTGGGGGGGAAAAGTCCTGCTCTTTATCACATCCTTATCTGTGGAGGAAAAATAATGTTCCCGTCACTTATTGATTTGGCCCCTTTCCAGCCTCCTGGGTGCATGAACCCATAACCCGCGTCTGGCACGCTTCTCCGGTGGCGCCCTGTGCCTGTCGCCCGTGCCGCGGCCCGCGGGGTGACCTGGCCTTGGTTCTGCCTCCCCCCGCTTGTCTTTGACCTGTAGCCTTTGGTTTCCGTCCTCGTGCGGCGTCCCTGGGAGCAGGAGGAGTCTGCATGGCAGTCAAGCGCTTCCTGAGCCGCATGTAGCGTTTTCCTGGCGGCCCGGAATAACAACCCGCTTTTATTACGGCGTGGCTCCGTTTAGGTTCACTTAGGCGCGGGGGGGGGTGTCCCAGGCTTGGCTTGGCCAGTGACAAACTGCGGGGGAAACCTGCGAGACGCGTGTAGCTCCGGTTTAGAGGCACCCCCGGGGGGAATCCCTGACTGGGCGGAGTGGGCTGGGGTCGCCCCCACCTTTGTGATGCTTGAGGATGGCGAAACAGCTTTTTTTTTTTTTTTGGAGACACTTACAGTGAACTTGCTTTGTATCCATAATAAAAAATAATTATAGGTGAGTAGAGGGCAGGGCCACACAAAGACATGCCTGCGGCCCTGGAAAATTCTACTGAATGCCGCCCCCCCCCCCCCCCCCCCCCCCCCCCCCCCCCCCCCCCCCCACACACACACACACACACACACACACACACACACATGCATACACAGGGCTGGCCCAACCCGTTTCGAGGCCTTAAGCAGAATTTGAAATTTTCCCCAAGGCAGGCCTGCCCCCGAATCCCCAATGCCCCCCCCCATTGGTGACACTGGTAGAGGGGCGTGTCCCCAAAACTCGCCCCTCCTCAGCCATAGCCGCCGAGCATCAAAACTCAGGAAATCCGCCTCGGCCCCCCCCCCCCGGAGGTCTTATCTAGCACAGGGTTGTTGGGATTATGCAATAATTCCTGCTAATCAATTACACAGTGAAACCAGCAAGAAACTAGATTTAGGTAGATGGTGAGTGTCATGGGGATTGGGGGGGGGGAGGGGAGAGATACTGATTGTCCCTGAGCACTTTGGCACGAAGAATGGGGACATCTTGTTCAGAGTGGAAAATGTATATTAAGAAAAAAAATAGAGGAGACAAATTGGGTTTGGCTGCAGTTAGAGCTGAGAGGACGGCGAAGACCCAAGTCCGAGCGACGGTCCGTGAGGGATGAGCTTAAATAAACCGTCTGCACTCCGGCGCTGCACGTGGCAGGAGGAACTATCTGTGTGAGGTCACATAATTAAACAGGCAGTCATTGCAGGGAGCTTTTAAATTGCTCCATGGTTTGGGACCTTCTGTTCCTTTGGTGAATCTTTACCAAAAAAAACGTAATACATCAGTAAAACATAAGTACATAAGAAGTCAAAAAACAGCCAATTTAATTTCCAGCTATAAAGAAAAACAACTATGACAGTGAATGACACTCCATAGACAAATTAGCATTTATGGCATAATTCATCATAAATAAATCTCTGCAGAGCCCAGCAGCATGCACTGGTCTCCATGGTGACTCTGATAACAATAATTATTGTTAAGAGGCTGACTGGACTTATCAGTCTCACAGTCGGGTCTAGCCTTGCAACCACGGGCCTGTGATTTTAGCCTGTCAGTATAATTATAGCATATTTGCAATGGATTTGTATGAACGGTAGCAGGGAAGTGGGGGAATTCCACAGGAAAAAATGCTGTTTGTCTGTGGGGAGGTGGGGAGCAGCTGAAGATGATTGAGTCCTATGTGGAAATGAGTCTGGCTCTGGCCGTACTCCACCCCCCCCCCCCCCCCCCCCCCCCCCCCCCCCCCCCCACCCACCACCTTCTGCCATGTGCTGGTCTGGCCCACAGGTGGCGACACAGGAGGAGTTCTTCAACCTGTCCCAATGCCAGCTGGTGATGCTGATCAGCCGCGACGAGCTGAACGTGCGCTGCGAGTCCGAGGTGTTCCACGCCTGCGTGGCCTGGGTGCGCTACGACCGCGAGAACCGGCGGCCCTACGTGCGCGCGCTGCTGCAGGCCGTGCGCTGCCACTCGCTGACGCCGCATTTCCTGCAGCTGCAGCTGCAGAAGTGCGAGGTGCTGGAGTGGGACGCGCAGTGCAAGGATTACCTCTCGCAGATCTTCCAGGACCTGACGCTGCACAAGCCCACCAAGGTGCTCTCCTGCCGCACGCCCAAAGTGCCGCAGCTCATCTACACGGCGGGGGGCTACTTCCAGCAGTCGCTCAGCTACCTGGAGGCGTACAACCCCTGCCGGGGCGAGTGGCTGCGGCTGGCGGAGCTGCAGGTGCCCCGCAGCGGCCTGGCAGCGTGTGTCATCGGCGGCCTCTTCTACGCCGTGGGCGGCCGCAACAACGCGCCCGACGGCAACATGGACTCCAACACGCTAGATTGCTACAACCCCATGAACAACCGCTGGTCCCCCTGCGCCCCCATGAGCGTGCCGCGCAACCGCATCGGCGTCGGCGTCATCGACGGCATGATCTACTCTGTCGGCGGCTCGCACGGCTGCATCCACCACAACAGTGTGGAGAGGTGGGTCTCGTGCCATCTCTGCTCGCCAGCAGGGGGTGCTCTACCATCACCTACATTTAGTCGCAGTGCATGTAGGCTTATTCCCCCAGCACTCAATGAGCATAATTAGATTTTTTTTCAATCACCAAATATATAAACTTAATAATTTATTAAGAGGAAACGATAGTATTTCTGATTTCAGCTTGCCATAAATACTGCAGCGCCTTTACAGATGAGTATCAGTACTAGTAATTATTAATCAGACTAGGGCAGCGGACGCTGGAGTTAAACTGACGGAGCGTGACGCCAGCTCTGGGTTTCCTTTACACAGCTTTTAGTAGGTCGTCTTGTCCTCAGTGCGCCAAGATCTCACTTTCAGTTGATTTTGACATCCAGAAAACTTAGTGAGCTTTTGCCCTGTGAGACTTGATATCTTTTCTTGAACACATTGCTTATCAGTTTCCTCGTGGTTGCAAATACTTCCCATACTCTAATACCTTTGGACAGATCATTTTGGATAATTCACAGCTGTTCAAGCAGGTATGGCAGTCTGAGAATGCGGTTGGTTTATGTGTGTGTGTGTGTGTGTGTGTGTGTACAATTGGCTGGAACATTGGAACACTTGATCCCTATTCAGTCAAAGCCAGAACAGGCTGCTTAAAGGCATGGAACAGACACAGCTTATTGTCAGTTACTGTGCCGTGTCTGTCATGAAGAGCAAAATTAACAAATATTAAAACAAAATTAAATGCTTCAATATGCAATAGCATATTGAATTCATATATATTAGCTTTAATACATCAAAAAATATATATATAGAAAAAAGTCAAAAGCCTTTGAAAAAAGTTGTTCCAAATAATTGTTACTTATTTAACTTACTAAAGTCATGTCCCCTCACTTGTTTAATGAGACCCTTTATCTATAAATTGTCTTAATTTTATTTTGAGCCTCGACCATTTACTTGAATTTCATTCAAGGGTTTTTAAGCAACTTGTCAATCGAATGCTCCGCCCACTAAGGAGAATTGATGAAATCCTCAGCCATTTGTCTTGTCTCTAAGTCCACCTGTTAAGTGGTAAACCATTGGCACGGGATCATCATTTAAATTATATACGTTTATATCTGTTTTCAGCATTTATTACATCTTAAATTCTTCAGTAAATAAGTATGTAAATTTTAGTGTAAAAATCCACCTTGGCCAGTCAGGCAAACCATAGTTCGCTCAAACTAGTTGTAGCATATTCCTGCGCAGCGTTAACCCGATTTTTTTTTTAGTTTCAATATTAAATGAGCTTTACTTCCTTCAGCCATCAGCTGAACTTGGCCTGATTAGCTTCTGCTTTGTGTCCTGTGGTTAACCAGCTGAATTGCTGAGCCTCACTTCAAAAAAGCTCCATATAGCTGGAGATGTTGCATTGCTGGGCAAGGTAGCTGTCACAGATATTTATGCATGCGCCAGGTTACAATAGTAGATAAGACTTGATATTGGTTGTGCATTGACAGGAAAATTATGACCAACTGGCTAAAACCAATATACTGCTGACTGTGCATATTTCAGTTTAAAAACCCCATAACCATGCGATGCTCCTACCCCCCCCACCAGATATGACCCCGAGAGGGACTCCTGGCAGCTGGTGGCCCCCATGCTGACCCGGCGCATCGGAGTGGGCGTGGCTGTCATCAACCGGCTTCTGTATGCGGTGGGAGGGTTTGACGGTACACACCGGCTCAGCTCATCCGAGTGCTACAACCCTGAGATGGACGAGTGGAAGAGCACAGCACCCATGAATACCGTGCGGAGCGGAGCCGGTGAGTCCAGGGTGGAGGTTCGGACATTGTGGGTTTGAACTATGGGTTGCCCACCTGTTAGAATTGAGTAACGCTGCCCTCTGCTGGTCACCCGGCTTCCCTGCTCACCAGGTGTATGCGCGCTGGGGAACGCGATCTACGTTATGGGGGGCTACGACGGCACCAACCAGCTCAACACCGTGGAGCGCTACGACATCGAGGCGGACAGCTGGACCTTCGTGGCCTCCATGAAGCACCGACGCAGCGCGCTGGGGGTGACCGCGTACCACGGGCGCATCTATGTACTGGGTGAGTACTGGGCACCAAAGGCTGGGGGGGGGGGCGGAGTCTATCCAGGAGCCTTCACTGCAGACCTGTTAATTATGCCGCAACATTCTGAGAATTCTTGGGAAAAGTAACTTAGAAGTTGATGTCCTATTTTTGTAAACCCTGGAACACTGTACGCTAGAGTTTTATAGTGTATTCTGGAAAGTAATGAATGAAAACTATCACATAATGGACCTTAAGTGGACACAGGATCATACAGACCAAACAGAATTATATTCACGCCCCCCCCTGCCCCCCCCCCCTCGTCCAGGTGGATATGATGGGAACACGTTCCTGGACAGCGTGGAGTGCTATGACCCAGAGACGGACACCTGGACAGAGGTCACCAAGATGACGTCGGGGAGGAGCGGCGTGGGTGTGGCCGTTACCATGGAGCCCTGCCGTAAGGGGCTGGCTCAGTGCTTAAAGCACTAGAGCACCAACTCGGCGCAAGCCCGGAGTGCTTTTTTTTTTGTTTTTTTGTGTTGCACCTGATGGTCCAAAACTGGGCCACAACCGTATGGAACACTGGCCTACCCGCTGGCTCTAAAAGGGGGAGCAGTGGGAGTTGGGCAGGGACCTGGGGTACATCACCTTCAGCCGCCATCGATCTTTGGGCGGAACCTGGAAAAAATGCCAAATGGCAAGAAGAATCCTGCCGTTTATCCACAAAGGGTTCCTCCCGTTTCCCCTCTTCTTAACATCTCAGGTCATCATATGAATGAGAAGTAAAAACCGGTTCCTCTATTGCAATTATTTTTCCAGGTATTTAATTAGTTGCTTAACAGAAATGTAACTCTGGGGGTGCACTAACGTCAGGATAACGTTTCCCCGGCCCTGGCAGAGTGGGCTGTGGCAGGCGTGTATGTAGACTAGCGTGTTAAGGCAAACATTAAGGTTCCAGGGTGGGGGGGCAGGAGGCTTGAAGAGGAAATGAGATCTATGTAGCGTTTGTGTGGAGAATGAGGGAACCGAGTTCTCTGAGCTTCAAGTGCCATTTGTCTCGACTGGCCATGCGCTCAGTGGAGTGCATGTGCTCATACGTGCTGTGTGTAGTTCCAGGTACCCTGGCGTTCCATACGTGCTGTGTGTAGTTCCAGGTACCCTGGCGTTCCATACGTGCTGTGTGTAGTTCCAGGTGACGTTCTCGGCGGATTAGGAAGTGGCTGAGTGTAGGACATTTTTTTTCTTCTTCTTCTTCTACCTTCTCCCCTTCCACGCCAGTAGCCGGCCTCACAGCACAGTATACTTCTTTAACTCTGTCTCGACCAACGCCGCGTGACGGGGACGGAAGGGCATCTCATGACATCGGGGACGTCCGCTTGAGGGAGAGTTTGACACATGTAGGAACACTAATACTGGATAATTGTTTTTTCTTTCTTTTTTTTACGTCCACAGCATCTCTAGCACCGTACTTTTACTGAGGAAAAAAATCAGCAATTTGCATTGGCCAATTGGGCATCATGAATGGGACAAAAAAAAAAAAAATTAACTTAAGGTATTGTATTTGTTACAGCAGTTTAAGCTAATTTTTTTTAAGGACTAAAATTTTGTACGTTGATATTCCATAAAGTCTTGTACAGAATTCTAGGGCTTTTTAAACATTTAATTTATTATTTTTTTTCATTCTGCGATTTTTCCTGCTTCAGCTGCCTCCGCTTTGTAAAGGATCGGACTCTGATCTCAAGTTTCCTACTGAGCATGCTGTATTTGACACACCTGACCACGGAATTCTCATTTTGGAAGTTTTCTCCTAAAATAAAAGGGACACTTTTTTTTTTTCTTCTTCTTTATATAGTTCAAAATTTACCTAATTATTTAAATACTGCATTGTCAATTTTAAAGCAAAATTCAGTGTACAAAACAGACATTGTCTATATTAAAGTATTTGTTTACTGTAGTATTCTGGTAGCTGTACTTTTGGGAGCTGAAGTCACTTCTCTATAATACGCTGTTGCAGCATACAGTAATCACTGCCACACCAACATACCATGCAATACAAGCAGGTTTGTTTCAAAACATTTTAATACTTAGGGTGCATATGGGAGGTGTATGAACCGTCAAATACAACCCAAATATATAGTGAGAAACTGCAACTGCATTGCAGTTGCAAATCACTTTTTGTATGCTTTCTGGGTATTTTCCCAGTCCCCGTGCAATACGCAGCATAGGGACATCCTTCATGCGTGTTCATTTCCAGTGTTTTCACGCGACAGGACTCGCATAACAAACGTGTGAGGCTTGTGGTCCGTTTCTGCACGCATAGTGCCCTCTAGGCGGAAGCCTGAACCAGAGCAAGAAGCTGCCCTACATGCTGAAATCACGCCGTGCTTCCTGAGTCTTAATAAAATACACACATGCTAGCTTGTTAGAGTTCACTTCCCGAGGTTTTTACTTAAATATCGTCGTGGGTGTCTGTGATACCTCTCTTTATGGCATTTTGTGATTATATACACTCACCTAAAGGATTATTAGGAACACCATACTAATACGGTGTTTGACCCACTTTCGCCTTCAGAACTGCCTTAATTCTACGTGGCATTGATTCAACAAGGTGCTGAAAGCATTCTTTAGAAATGTTGGCCCATATTGATAGGATAGCATCTTGCAGTTGATGGAGATTTGTGGGATGCACATCCAGGGCACGAAGCTCCCGTTCCACCACATCCCAAAGATGCTCTATTGGGTTGAGATCTGGTGACTGTGGGGGCCATTTTAGTACAGTGAACTCATTGTC